AAGAACCCCTTATTTTTCTAATACTAAATAAAAAGTATAGGTCCCCTATCGTCACAATATTTCTTTAAACCAAATAGATTACAAATAAACGTGTGTACATATATATTTTATTAAAATAATGCTATGATTCACCTCTCCCATATATAGATAGGGAATAGAGTCTAACAACAATACAAGAAGTAAATAACAACAAAGCAAAAAACAAAAATCACACACATACTACATATGTGGGTATCGGTTTTTGTTATGTTGATATACGCATGATGGGATATTGTTTTAAAAAAAGAATTAACATTATGTGATAACTTATTAGAAAAACAAACAAAAAAAAAAAAAAACAGATTTAAATATATATAATTATTACTATTAATTATCTTTGTTAATATTTGTTATTATATTTTATTATTATTTTTCTCTCAATACCTTTTTTTCTTCGTTGTCTTCAATGTATAATATAACTGCAAAAAAATGAAAATCGTAAGGAAATTTCTTAGAATAATTCCTTTGTATGACTTTTATTATAATTAGTATGTAGCTTAAGCTTATTTTGTTGTTTTAAGAAATTAACAACAACAAAAACAAATATCTTCTGTCACTGTGTACATTTAAACCAATAGCTTATCTATAAGATAATATTTGTCTTACTCTCCTATTACCCATGTACTATATCTAAAATAAATAACAATAAACAAGAAAATATAAACGAATATTCACACATACACAAAAGAGAAAAAATGTTGCGGATAAAAAAATACGATGGTAGTATAACACGCAGTTAATGGCAATCAAATTATATTGAGTAAGAAAATGTGAATAAACAATTTAAAATACTATGCAAACAATACGTTTTTTCTTCGTTTCTTTGGTTAAATTAAATACTGTTTATGAAACATGAATATACGGAATATAAAAATACAAGGCTCGTCGCTTCTTGCTAAAAAAGACAGGAAATCAATGAGCATCATCCACTACATAAAAAAAATAAAAAACCTGACTATTTTGTAAAAACAAAATACAAATGGTATCGCAAATAACCCGCCAACACTACTGAATATAAAAAATATTTGTAATCTGATGCGAAGATTATAATGAAACAAGAAACACTTCATGCTATTCAGATTCGATGACAATGATGCTTGAAATCGGAAGGTATTATGTATGCCAGCTTTATTCTAAATGGGAAATGATTTATGATTCATATATTACTTATGCCATTCTATACTCAATTTGATCAGCTGTGCAAAGTATAACAATGATTTGAAATCAGACAAAATTATGTAAATGTACCGATTTACTCAAATATTGAAATTCTAAATTCCAATAAACTCCACCTAAATCCTAGGATGGAGTTTATTGGGCAAACGTTTCTGGAACCTCTCCTCATATAAAGTGAAGAATAAAATCTGTGTTTCATTTCGTAGACCTCCGCTAACCATAGTGTCCGTGTCGGACACACACTTTTTACTTTTTCGAATAATTCATATAGTTTATCTAGTTCCTTTATTTCAACTCATTCTATTATTTTAATATTTTACGTTCATTTTTCAGATGCTGTAACATTGTTAAACAAATATGAATATACCGTCGTGAATGCATTTGCCAATCTGTTTATCATTTTCATTTCTCCAGGAACCAGCACCGACCTATGTGGAATCTATTAGTTGGAGCTATATGGAGCGAAGGAATACATTCCTTTCTAGAAAAGCGAAAAATCGATCCGCTCCGTGATCTAGATAGATCAAGTCTACTGAGGCTACTCTTCCCGTTGAGCAACTTATGACGGACACAATTTGTTTGCCTTGTACTTGTTGTGTCACAAGGTCCTAAACATTCTAATTTTAATTATTAATTTTAAAACATTAAATATTATTACAAAGAAGAAAAAAAACATTAAAATGCATTTTTATTTCGTTTAGATTTCAAATAAGGTAATTTAATTCAAACCATTTTAGGCATAAAAACAGCTAAAATATATGTTCCAACCGATCTACAATTATTGCTACAATAACCATCATTTTTTATCGTTAATCAAAATATAACTTTACAAAATGTTTGCAAAACCAAGGCTTAACATGATAGCATTCCAATCCGATCGAAACCGGTCTTAAATTGTATAAAAACCCTATTTTTATTCTTTAACGACATGACAGGACCGGGACTTTTCGGAACACTTATATGTAGGGACTACACGCCAAAACATATACCCCATATATTATAAAATATCTGTCAAGATGTGGTATTTTATCCTTCGAAGTCTGTAATATTAAATTACAAGCACTTTGATTGGCACGGTGAATGGGAACAGCATTTTACCAATTGAAATGATGACCAATTGCTAAACTTGCACCACAACATGTTATCTTTATTTCCTACAAATTTCCTTAATAGCCCTATTTTTTCTTAAAATGAATTATTTTCCAATGACAACAAGCACTCAACAACAATCTAATATCAAAAGTTTCTCAAATACACCAATTTCCAGCCATTCAAAGCTAATTTAACGTTTTTGCAAATGATCACGAATTCCCTAGTTCTCCGTGGTAAAACTTCTTGTTTATCGATACACATACAAACTACACAATCTGCCCTCAACAATGGTACAAGTTTGATGTTAATACGTTCATTCATTACTGAGTTATAGCCATTTCAAGTTGACCTTGTGTCAAAATATAGCGGCTACACGATTCTGTTGGCCTGGTACCTCAAATTGGAAAAATGACATTTTGACAAAAGCGAAAAAGTACAAAACAGCAGCATCATTGCCACATTATTCGATTTTTCTTTGATTTAATGGTTTGTTTACAAATTCTGAGCATACTTTCAGGCGCATAATTTAAAATGATCTCCACATGAAGGTTATATGGCTCGTGATTTTAATGTAACGCCTAAAAGTATGCTCAGCAGTTATAAACTTACCTTAAAACACTATGGTAGCGATCTGGTAACATGCAGTATTTTATATTTTTACCCTTTTGCGATTTCTTCATTTTTCCAATTTGAGGTACCAGGCCAACAGAATCGTGTAGCCGCTATATTTTGACACAAGGTTAACTTTAAATGGCTATAACTCAGTAATGAATGTACGTATCGACATAAAACTTTTACCATTGGTTAGGGGAGATTGTGTATCGATAAAAAAAAGTATTTTCTCAACGGAGAACTAGGGAAATTGTAATCATTTGCAAAAACGTAAAATTAGCATTGATTGGCTGAAAATTGGTGTATTTGAGAAAATTTTGATATTAGATTGTTGTTGAATATTTGTTGTCATTGGAATTGTTGTTGTTGTCATTGGAATTTCTATTTTCTCAAAATAATTCATTTTGAGAAAATAGAGGGCTATTAAGTAAATTTGTAGGAAATAGAGAAAACATTTTGTGGTGTAAGTTTAGCAATTTGACATCATTTCAATTGGTAAAATGCTGTTCCCATACACCGATTTTCCAATGAAAGTGGTTGTAATTTAATATTACAGACTTCGAAGGATAAAGGATACCACCTCTTGGCGGATAGAATCACTAGCAGCTATATTTTGACACAACATCAACTTCAAATGGCTATATCTCAGTAATGAATTCATGTATTGGCATGCAATTTTCACTATATGTTAGGAGAGAATTTGTAGTTTTTATGTGTATAGATATTAAAACATTTATAAAATAAATAATTAACAAAATTAACTAGTTTTAAAAACTGCCTTTAAATTGCCGGAAATTTTGTGTTTTAAGAAAAAAAAAATTAAATTAGATTACTGTTGAAGATTGGAATTAAGGAATTTTATTTGTTTTTGTGCAAAAATAAGGATAATTGAGGGAATATCAAGGACATAAAGAACAACTGCTGCAGTATAAGTTCAAGTACTATACGTCATGAGACGATGTAAAATATCAATACAATTTATGAAATAATAATATATTTTAGATGTCCTTCTGAAATATATGGGGTCCTCAATATGTTTGTAATGTCTAGAAATAATCCTAAGACCCCATAAAGTATATATGCATGTTCTTTTTTAGAATAAAATTATATGCCGATTTAGACATGCGTCCGTTCGTAAAAACCTTATATTTTACTTAATCAGTTATTAAATCATTTTGTTTAATCGCAGTTAAAACCATAATTTATTTTTTAATAAAAAAACACAATTGACTAAAATTTACTTTTTGTTTGTAATTTTTATTATTTAAAAATTTTGTTGTTTCGCGTTTATTTTGTTTGTGTGTGTAAAAATAACTTACAATTGTACTTTTACTAATAAAAAAATGGTTTGCAAAATAAATTGCATTATTATCATCATCAAAATATATGTTTATTATTATTTAAAATGCTTGTCATTGTTAATCGGTTTGTTATTATTTGTTTTTTATATTCTTTTTTTTATTATTTATACAAAATGAAATTTATAAAAATGGGGACTCATTACAATTATTTAGACAAAAAAGACACAAGCATTTTATATACCTAACAAAACGAACATTTGAATTGATATTATTATAATTGTTTTTATATTTATAAGAAAAGACGAACTAATTTTTTTTATTATAACTTAAAAAACTACGAAAAAATATATAAAGAATAATATATTTTATTGGAGTTGTGATCATTATTATTTTTTTTAATATAAAATATTTCAATAATATATTTGTATTGTTGTTTTTAGAGTGCTTTTGGGGGGAAGGAAATTGAATATTCGAGTTTATATGGTGGGGGGCAAAAAAAGACAAGTAGCATTTGTTTTGTAGACAATTAAAAACAAAACATGGATGTACAAAATACATCGTTTGTATAATTGTGTATACATATATAAAACCTCAAAGACATTGTATTATAATCACAGAACTACATTTTTTATATAAAGTTTTTTCTTCTTGTTTTTTTTTTCTTTCCATTTTTGTTGTGTACGTTTTATAAAAAATTCTCTTTTTTAGTTGAAGGTCATCGTTGTTTGTTCTGAAGTTGGGGGGCAGGCTGTTGTTGTTGATTTTCTTATGGAAATGTCACAAAATCACTTGTTGCGATTGTATCTTGAGGGATCAATTTCTTTAGAGAATTCAGTCATAACTTCCTTGTAAATGGCGGGATCCAAATTGCGACCCAACATATAGATCAGCCACCAATCACCAATATCCAATTTCTGTGATAAAATACGGCAAGTTTCCAAACTAATCATACGATTGCGGGCATGCAATAGACGTGGACGGAATTTCGGCATGAAGAGCATGAAGGCACTGGGGAGGAAAGAAATGAAAAATAATTAATAAGGGAATAAAAATGGAATCAAATTAATGTAGACGATATTTCAAAAAGGCCAGAGGTATCCATACAGACCAATTGGTCATTATAAAGACCTGTGGTCTCTATACAGACCAATTGGTCATTATAAAGACCGGTGGTCTCTATACAGACAAATTGGTCTTTATAAAGACCGGTGGTCTCTATACAGACCAATTGGTCTTTATAAAGACCGGTGGTCTCTGTACAGACCAATTGGTCTTTATAAAGACCGGTGGTCTCTGTACAGACCAATTGGTCTTTATAAAGACCGGTGGTCTCTATACAGACCAATTGGTCTTTATAAAGACCGGTGGTCTCTATACAGACCAATTGGTCTTTATAAAGACCGGTGGTCTCTATACAGACCAATTGGTCTTTATAAAGACCGGTGGTCTCTATACAGACCAATTGGTCTTTATAAAGACCGGTGGTCTCTATACAGACCAATTGGTCTTTATAAAGACCGGTGGTCTCTATACAGACCAATTGGTCTTTATAAAGACCGGTGGTCTCTATACAGACCAATTGGTCTTTATAAAGACCGGTGGTCTCTATACAGACCAATTGGTCTTTATAAAGACCGGTGGTCTCTATACAGACCAATTGGTCTTTATAAAGACCGGTGGTCTCTATACAGACCAATTGGTCTTTATAAAGACCGGTGGTTTCTATACAGACCAATTGGTCTTTATAAAGACCGGTGGTCTCTATACAGACCAATTGGTCTTTATAAAGACCGGTGGTCTCTATACAGACCAATTGGTCTTTATAAAGACCGGTGGTCTCTATACAGACCAATTGGTCTTTATAAAGACCGGTGGTCTCTATACAGACCAATTGGTCTTTATAAAGACCGGTGGTCTCTATACAGACCAATTGGTCTTTATAAAGACCGGTGGTCTCTATACAGACCAATTGGTCTTTATAAAGACCGGTGGTCTCTACACAGACCAATTGGTCTTTATAAAGACCGGTGGTCTCTATACAGACCAATTGGTCTTTATAAAGACCGGTGGTCTCTATACAGACCAATTGGTCTTTATAAAGACCGGTGGTCTCTATACAGACCAATTGGTCTTTATAAAGACCGGTGGTCTCTATACAGACCAATTGGTCTTTATAAAGACCGGTGGTCTCTATACAGACCAATTGGTCTTTATAAAGACCGGTGGTCTCTATACAGACCAATTGGTCTTTATAAAGACCGGTGGTCTCTATACAGACCAATTGGTCTTTATAAAGACCGGTGGTCTCTATACAGACCAATTGGTCTTTAAAAAGACCTGCGACATTTTAAAACTACTTCAAAATTTTTTTCTTAACTTACCGGAAAACAATAAGACCAATCAGCAATGCCAACAGGATCATATACCAGAACCAGATGAAAACATAGGTCTTCTCATTGACAATATTCAATGGCAATATACACAGGGAATCATGTTTCTGCAGTGAACCTGAAGCACCATATTTGTGGAATATACACTTGGTGACACGTGGGAAAATATAAACCATAGGATCGACGCGTTGCTCCTGTGGTACATCGGACAATTGCATTATCCTTGTACCGTATGACATAAATTCACCATCAAAGAAACGATTCATCAGATACATCTGGACAATAATATTGATCAGACAGAGGGCTTCGCATAGCCAATAACGTATCGCATACATCTTATGACGTTTAACGTGTTTCGTTAAATAATCGAGTAGAGCATCACGTTTAGCTTCTTTTTCTTCACGCGGACAAATGGTAATGTTCAGGCCCATAACAATCATACGCATAAGGCCACCTTCGAATTTGTCCCACAGGAATTTGGGGGTGTAGCATGCAATGGCCTGGAAGGAAATAAATGTGAGTTAATATGATATATCTAATTAAAAAAATCGGGTAAAATAATCTCAAAAAAAGAAGCAGAACATATAAAAAAATATAACCTCATTTAAAAATATAATAGTTTTTATAAAGTTTGAGTTGTATAATAGATCGATTAGAGGTATTTTATAATATCCAACGACCTAATTACATAGCCTTAAAATTGTAATTTAACTGAAGATCTCAAGATCTCAAAAAATTTCCATACTATTTATCCTCAACATATTTTTTTATATTCACCGCACACTGCATGTACAACTTATGTTTAGTTTTTTTGTAAACAAATAATAGTTTAATTTCAGAAAAAAACACGTGTGTCTTGAAATATTCATTAAATCGCCACCAGAGCAAATTGACAAAACACCGGGCACGTAGATATCGACTATCGGGCACCGGGCACGACTATATCGACGTAGATATCGACTATAAACAAAATCATTATTGGATAATGAAATAATTTTATTACTTAGTTTCACATAAATCATCATGAATTCCAATCACGCCATTTAAATGTCAACTAGCGGTTTCTTTAACAGTTATAATAAAAAAACCAGACACGCAAAAAACTGAAAATTGATGTTGACAATTGTTGCTACTTCTAGTCTACGTTTTGTAAATTTAAAGTGTCAGAAAAAAATAAACTGATAAGAGAACACCAAACTATTATTTTTTTTTAATTTCTGTTCTGGAACATTTCTTTGAGCATCTTCTGCAGCTGAGCTTGTTTAAGAAGCGATCATTTTGATGAAATGATGATTGATGGGTTTTTCAGGTTTTCGGGGATTTACAACTAAGAATATATGTAAGAAGTCACGTAGTTTGCTGTTTTGAAGATTATGAAATTAAAAAAATATATAAGTAAAATAAAAATGATTTAGAATCGAAGATTCGACATTTGTCTTCATTTTAGGAAACAGTACCTTTCAAAGCAGATTTTTATTGTAACGATGAATAATTAATCCACACACCTACAATTGCTTTAATGGTATACACATGTTTTGCGCAACCTTTTACGAAGTGTGTTGATGGCTCAGAAGGATAAGTGGTCTGACAACATTTATGTTGCTCTAGGACCTAAGTTCGAGCCCTAGCCGTGCTCGGCTGAAATAATTTTTATTTATTTGAATTTTGCCTTCATTTGAATGAATTTTTAAGTGAGATATTTATACTTTTTCGAGTCATGTTTAATGATCTAAGGTTTGCAATGAATTATAAGGATTTTATAGTAACCGTAATCGTCCCTTGATAATGACTGCACCAATATTTGGAATCGATGTAGCCTATCTTCAAACTTGGCCATACTTCAAAAATATACATCTGCAGATATATATTTTGAAAACTCACACCCTACAAGACGCTGATGTTGTCTGAAGTAGGGATACGTAGTCGAGGGCAAAAATCGACTTTTAGACTTTTCGATTTTTGTCTCTGACTAAAAAGTCGATTTTAGACTTTTCGATTTTTGCCTTTGACTAAAAAGTCGACTTTTCGATCTTTCGATTTTGTCAAAACTATTCAAAATCGATTTTCGACTTTTACTGACTTCTGCAAAATCGACTAAAAATTTGATTTTTTATATGAATTATTGTTAACAGATAATGTAAAGTTCCGGAAAGTAAAATTTTTGGGCAATTTGAGCTTTGTGATAAAAAACCAAGTATTTATGAAGAAAATCGAAAGTCGATGTTGAAAAGTCGACTTTACGATTGCCTCATAGATCAAAAGTCGACTTCGACTTTTAGACTTTTCAATACAAAAAGTCGATTAGTCGAAAGTCGATTTACTTATCCCTAGTCTGAAGCATGGGTACTTGCGCAAGTAGATGAGACAGCTCTTGGGCTGTTTGAGAGAAAAATCCATATATTCTCGGACATGGACATATTCAGACGGATTGAGCTGCAGCGACTGCTCTGCCTAGTTCATTTTGTGAGAATGGATGAGGATTCCCCCACTCAAAATCGAGGCAAGTGATGGTTCACGCAGAAGGGGAAGGACACAAATCCAATGGAGAAATCAGGTGGTAGACAACATCTCGGAACAGGTCTTTCACAACATCTCGAAACATAGTATTTTAAGCTAGGCTTATGGAAGTAAAATCAGTATTGAATTTGGTCACTATGACTTTTTCCGTGAGATGCTGGGTTCAGTTCGCGACGACCCACATCTGCCTCAAAAGATTGTAATTGCTGGGTTGATGTGGTATACATCTAAGCACAATCATCCCAATGTAAGCTATATCTTGAGGCCAGAGAATTGGAATGAGATCTTCTCCAAAGGGTCGTCGTAACCGGTAACGAATCATGCGTTTATGGTTATTACGTGGAAATAAGAGCTGAATCAAAGCTAATAAAGGTCAATACCGAAACGATCTGATGATTTCGTACACCAGAAAGAGGATAAAAAGGGCATCAAGTGAGGAGCTGAAAATTACAACCAAAAGAGCGGCTGAACAAGGTCAGAAAAAAACTGAAAAAATCTCGTGAATATTGCCCAGATAAATTTAACAATTGCCTCTTATTGTCTAAGAAGTTTCGGTTCAGATCAGCAGCCTTATATAAAATATAATACTGGACCTTCAGGGACCTGTAGTTTAGTAACGGAACAAATCGTTTGGTAGAATCGGCAATATAGCCGTTGACAAAATTGAACACCACATTTCAAAATTGTCTGCGATAATATCTATGATCTTCTGAAAAAAGGGGATACGACCTTCAACATCGGTTAAGACATTTATATGGGCGATATGCTAAAATGTGGACATAAATTGATTCAGAATGTTGTCTGTCCTTTGAGAAATTGCAGAAATGTAGGTTGGAAATAGCAAAATATGGAAGGGATTCTATATATTTCTGTCAAAATTTGTTGAACAGTCTGAAAATCGAATAATACTAATTATAACTACATATGTTTGAAAATACGGCTACAACATTCAACATATCTGAAATAGATTTTAAAAATTTCTAAGAGGAAATATTTAAACTTCCATAATTCCGAAATGCCAAATTCAGCCACTTCGGAGAACAACTGGGGCTAAATATTCCAAATGCCAAACATTTGGTGATATAATTATATGGGATATATTCAAAAACGTGGACAGATCAATAAAAGGAGAATTTCAAGATCTATCTCGATTGTAAACGATAGATGGACGTGGCTAAATCTATATTCATTCCTCGGGTACAACATGTTGGAAAATATATTTCTTCAAAATATATCAAGTCAAGCTGTATAATGATATTGGGGCTTATATGAATTATCGAAACGTTACATGTCAATATTTTAAGATTTATTTTTGAGGGATTCGTGCTATGTTTTGAGGCATAATCCAAAATATTACCAAGGACAACTATTGGATTTTTGTTAAGAATAATTTTGGAAGACAAAACTTTAATTCAATATAGATATTCAGCCATATTAAAATCTCAGTATCAAAAAATAATTCCAATAATCTTCCACATTTTCCGTACACTCCATACATTCATTAAAATGCATGGTCATTTATGTATTCAAATCTTTAATGACTTCCCACACTCTCAAAAACATGTATATTTTCTAATTAAAAAAATGGATTGTAAATTTTTGAAAAGGGTTTCAAAACTCCACCCAATAACCTTCTGTGGACAATGCAGCATTGCACCTTTGAAATGAAATTCCAAGTCATCATAATAATGTTTGCGTTTGTTTCCCCGAAATATTTCAATTGCTTTATTTTACACTTAACCTAATAAAGACACCATAACATTTACGAAACTGGTTTGATTTCAGTCGAAACTTTCCCTGGTTGAATAGACATTCATTTCTTTTTTATTAATACTGTATATGGGGTTTTTTGTGAACAATTTAAACAAAAACGTAATTTCTTCTTGACCGAAAATAAAAGACAAAAACGATCTTTCGAGTAAAAGAATCAACGTCATCATCAGTATCACAGCAACATTTTTATGTTGCTTAATTCTATACAACATAATGGTGAGCTGGTGTGATTTTTATTATTGTAACGAGTTTGTCTGGCTTGGCTGGCAGACATAAAAACAGACAGATCTATCTGGGATGATGATGAGGAGGAGCATGACAATGATGAGTTTCAAAATAGTTTCAATTCCACTTCAATTGACTTTAATTAAGGTTTAAATGTAATTTCTGTATCTACGTATATATGAAATATTTATTTCAACACACAATCCATACTTACACACAACATGTGGATATATATATCAGTGATCTTATACATTTATAAGTAGATGTGTATAACAGAACTGTGATCATTTATTATAATCAATTTAATGTTGATTTTGAGCTTTTTTCTCTCTTTCTGTCAATCAAGTATACTCTTTCTTTAAATTGATTAGATACGAGTAAGAAGAGCCACAGTTACCTTTATTTCAATATTCAAAATTGTTTTTGTCGTTCGTGGGTGATAAATATGACAATCAATTTTATAAATGAGGATAATCTAATAAAAATGTTCCAAATTGGAGTACAATAGCGTGAACCGACTGAGTGCTATAAAGGTAAAATTTCGAAATCTCTAGACTGCTACAATTATTTACTAACACTAAATATGAAACTAGTAGGACCATTTAAATTTGGACCAAATTTTCCACGACCGAATGTGGGACCCGTCAGCCCTCTCCTCTGGTACATCCTACAAAGGGTAAGATATATTATCAAATTAAAATCAAATTTTGAAGTCTTATGGAAGACAAAAGTTTTAATAATATGTTTGTGGGATTTTTGAACCAAAGATTATTGGGACTATTTTCGAGGGTAAACGAGGAGCTTAAAAATATTTTTGATTGATAAAGTGTGGATTTTTGAAAATTGTTTTGAGAGATTATCGCAACAAAAAGCGGGTATTTGAGAGAATAACGAAGTCATAAGTGTGAATTTTTTATGAATAACTTTTGAGGGGTTATGGAAGCCCAAAGTAAGATGTATTTATAGTAATTTGTTGTCGAAGTTAAAAGTGGCGAGATTTTTGGATTAATTTTGGAAAAAAAATATGGAAGCCAAAAGTAAGGATTTCCGGACCATATTAATTAAAGGAACCGAAGCCAAAAAACATGTTTATGCCTATTTTCGAATGATTTTAGTAATCAAAGCCAAAATGACGATTTTCATGTCTATTTTTATACCCTACACAACTATGTTGTCAGGGTATTATAGCTTTGTGCAGTCCCAAGAGTTTGTAACGCCGCGAAATATTGGCCCTACACCCACCTTTAAGTATACCGATCGTCATATCTCGACTAGCTGAGTCGATCTAGACATGTGTGTCCGTCCGTCTATTTATTATAATATGTAAACATGATACAGGCCACAGTTATGGACCAATGTTCACGAAATTTTGCATGTAGGATGGGCCAATGAAGACCCCTATTGTTTTTGGTAAAGATCGGTTAATATTTATGGGATGAAATTATTTAGTAACCCATTAACATAAAAGGGCAGAAATATAGCTCTGACCGCTTTAACACTTTGAAAGAGGTTCCAGTCAAGGATAACGCCTATTGCTTTCGGTGATGATCACATAAAAAATTTGGGATGAAGTCGACCGAAAACTTAATTGTTTGTGTTTTCGAGTCGATCTACAGGCCACAGGCCGAACAACCCACGGTGAAGAGAATCTGGACAAATAATTAGAAGGGCTATACTGAATATAGGGTATATTCGGAAAATATGTCAGTGTAAAGAAAATGTGCTGTTGATCTCTAATCGGTCAATAGGGTGCAAATATCACGAAATATTGCCCAGGCTCGAAATAAACATCCACAGAAAGTTAGAGTTCTGTGGTAGGGTATCGTATGGTCGACCCGTCCGACTATACTGCTTCGCTCACTGGTTCTTATGGCTATTTTTTGAGATATTATTGAAACTCAAATGTGATATTATAAATAATAATGTTAATTAGTATTTGGTGTACTATGGTGCAAGTTAAGATTTTTTGGAGAGCCACCAATGCTCAATGAGTTGATTTTTGAAGATAATTTTTGGAGAACCATGAAATGTGGATTTAAAATGTGGATTTTCTTAAAAATATTCTTTATTGATTTTTTAGATCAGTTTTCAAGACTAACTTTGCTAGTCTTGAAAACTACATTTTTCCCGACCATGGGAACCTATACAGATAGGTATCGAGATGCACGTGCTTGACCTTATAAAAATGAATCACGCGGCATGTCTGGCACAACAATTTCCAGCAACTTCTGACTGTCCTCACTTTTCAAACAAAAAATCATTTCTTTTCTTTCTCCCCGAAAAAAAATCTCAATTTAAATGCAAACATTTTTGCCTGACAACTGAACAAATAAATTCACCAATTCTTTATGAGAAGCGACATAAAAAACGCAGCACGTTTTTGCGCTGTCAATTGAATTCCGTATTCAAATTCAATAAAATAAATTGTTTAAATAAATTTAAAGCAAATAAATTGCGAGCGTGTGAACAAAAATGGTTATTAATGTCTTCAACTGTCTGTCTGCTGTCTTCGGTGTTTGAATTCATGCGTTATTTATTTATTTTGTATTACTCGGCTGTTATGTTTACTAACATAAAACGTTTATGTTTTTTGTTTTTGGTAATAAAACAAAACGACAACACGAACATATTACCTTTTAAGCCAGCTACTACACATAATAATGACGATGATTGTTCACATAAATAGAATTAAAAAAAAAATACACACAACGACATCATGTTATTGCAACAAAACATGAGATCGTGTAAACATTGTTTTAGACCACTAACTAACAGTAGGCTATAATCATTACTTTTTTTGAAAGCCATAATTGTAGACCATTCATTATTGCGGCGATTTTTTTGAGGTTAGTTTTTTTGTTTGCTTTATTTGGAACAGATCAGAAATATTTTATGTCTCATACATCAGTTTTCGTTTGATTGTTTTAACTTACCTGAAAGAAGAGCACAAAACAAACCCACTGATAGTAGGTGTAATACTTTTTAGCATCCTCATCATCGAAATCGTTTGCAATACCAGGATGTGCCACTTCGCGACCAACCTAAAATAGAAGGAAACACAATTTAATTATTACTTATTAAAAAAATAAGCAACTTTTTTTTTTAAATAAGGATAACAAAGACTCAATTCCTGAGGAAAACAACTTCAGTTATTGAGGTATTTTTTCTAAATAAAAGTTAATGAGGATTTTTTCTTATAAGAATGAGGTATTTTTTCTATAAAAAAGTAAGCCTCAGTTAGTGAGACATTTTTCTATATCATTTTTATATAGAAAAAATCAAGCCTTAGTTAGCGGTGAATTTTTTCTATAGAAAAAAATCCTCAGATAGCGAGGCATTTTTTTAAAAAATCGAGTCTCAGTTAGTGAAAATTTTTTTATAGAAAGAAATCAAGTTTTAATAAGAGAGGGATTTTTATAATGAATAAAGACAAGCCTCAATTGTCGAGGCATTTTTCTATAGAAAAATCCCTCTATTACTGTTGCTTGATTTCTTTCTACAAAAAATGTTAAACCTCATTTAATGGCCTTAGTAAATGCGCCATTTCTTCTATAGAAAAAAATCAAGCCTCAGTTAATGAGACAATTTTTTTCTATAGAAAAAATCAAACTTCAGTCAATGAGGCATTTGTTTCTATACAAAAAAATCGAATTTTTTATAACGATTTTTTTCTATAGGCCCATTTTTTCTATAGGAGGCATTTTTTTATAGGAAAAAATCAGGCCACAGTTAATGAGGCATTTTTTTTCTACAAAAAAATTAGGCTTAAGTTCATGAGGCATTTTTTCTATAGAAAAAAATTAGGCATCAATTTATGAGGCATTTTTCCTTTGGAAAAAAGTTCAGGCCCCAGTTCATGAGGCATTTTTTTGATATGGAAAAATCAGGCTTCTCTTAATGGGACATTTTTTTCTATAGAAAAAAATCAGGACATAGTTAATGAGGAATTTTTTTCTATGGAAAAAATCAGTCCTCAGTGAATGAGACATTTTTTCTATATTGAGGAATTTTTTCTACAGAAAAAAATTAGGCGTAAGTTTTGTTCCATAGAAAAAAATCAGGCCTAGTTAATGAGTCAGTTTTTTTTAATCAGGCCCCAGTTTTTGAAATTTTTTTTCTATAAAAAGAAGGAAGCCTCAAGTGTTGATACATTTTCTTTATAAAGAGAAAATCTAACCCAGTTTATGAGGCATAAATTTCTATAGGAAAAAAATCAGACCTCCGCGTATGAGATTTTTTTTTTCAATATAAAATCAAGCCTAAGTTAATGAGGCATTTTTTCTATAGAAAAAATCAAGCTTCAGTTAATGAAGCATTTTTCTATAGAAATAATTAAGACTCAGTTAATGAGCCATTTTTTCTATAGAAAAAGTTCAGGCATTGGGTTCATGATGCATGTTTTCCTATAGAAAAAAAATCAGACATTTTTTCTATAGAAAGAATAAGGCTCAGTTAAAGTATTTTTTAAGAAAACCCACTTCAATTCCACCCGATTGCAACTGAGGAATGTCTGCACATAAATCAATAATATAGGTATATGCCCCTTATTTTTCAATAATTTTCAAATGCCATAAGTTTCAAATTTCTCCGGCATACTCTCAAAGGAAATACCAAAGTACCCAGTAATCTTAAAATAATTTAAAACAACATCAAACCAACCTATCCACAAATTGAAGGTAGAAGTAGTAGTTCAAATAAAAACCACCATTGAACAACAATCACCTCCAACATATCCTATTACCAATTCTTGGAAAGATTCATTCGACTGATCGCAGATGACAAGATGAAGGGCCCACTAAACGATTCTTTAGGCTTACACATCAAACACATTGAAGGGAAATGCTAAGACTCCATGAATTAAAAAAAAGAAAGACCAGATCACATTTATGGCAGCAACCGTAAACCGCAAACATCCTTCACGAAGTTTCTCAAATTGCTAGCTATGTGTGTGATGGATATTGTTTTTGTTTTATATCATTTGAAATATAATTAAAACCCGATACCGCCTTAGTTTTTTTTTTTTTGTTAAAAATCAAAACCTCGCAATGAGCGAGATGGAGGAGAGCAAAAAAAAAAACCGAACATGGGGCGTAACAAAGTTGTCTGCGCATAAATTAAAATTCAGTTGCCACAAGGCTATGGCCATGGCTGCCGTTTCCTTTCTGGAATTCCTCTGTACATAGTACTTTCCAGGAGTTCGCCAACGAAACAATACATGTGTGTGTGAGTGTGTTTGGAATAGCTCTTTGGGTTTCTTGTTCCATTTACGGTACTGTTTTTCTTTTCTGTTTCTTTTTATGATGTTTAATAATTCATGAAATGCACTTCTTGTGTATTTTTGCACGCCATTCCCGCCATACTTAAATAATCGCTGCAATAAAGAGTGAACATAATTCCCATATGTTGAGAGTCCAGCAGAAGACATACATATGTGTACATGGACTCTGTTTGGGTCTCAATGTCGTCACCGTCACGTCACAAAACGTCTTGAAGTTCAACGGAAATTTTAATTGCATTGGCGATCAACCCGTTCAATTTCAGTTGTTTATGCGGGTGGGGAGACTTTTTTAAAAAAAGAAGAAGACACAATATTTGAATTTTATTCTCTTGTTTTTTTTTACACTGAAATTCATCAGTATTTTCATTGTTTTTATTCATACAAACACATATGTATGTGTGTGTAGAAATTTGCAGATGTTTTTCTGACGATCATTATTTTAAGAGAATTTGAAAGGAGCAAAAAAGAAGACAATTGTTCCGAAAGGGAACAATTAAATTTGAAGTACTGGAGACCAATCACAATTCAAATACCGTAATTGAATAATCAAAATTTTCCTAGAATTCAAAATAAAAGTTTCGGTTAATAAACCGTTCAACCCTCAAGGGCTAAGATATGATTTCAACTCAGATATTTTTTTAAATCAAGCCAGAGAGATAATGGCCTCAGTTAACGATAAATTTTTTATACAAAAAATATTCGGCATCAGCTCATGAGGCATTTTTTCTAAAAAATGGATTTTTTTCTATAAAAATATCAGGACACAGGAATTCTGCAGAAAAAAATTAGGCTTCAGTTATTGAGGCATTTTTTCTATAGAAAAAATCGGGCTTTGTTATTTAGGCATTTTTCCTGTAAAAAATCAGGCCCAAGTAATGAGGCATTTTTTTCTATAGAAAAAAAATCGGCCTCTGTTAATGAGGCATTTTTTCTATAGAAAAAAATCGGCCTCAGTTAATGAGGCATTTTTTCTATAGAAAAAAATTCAGGCCTCAGTTATTGAGGCATTTTTTCTTATAGAAAAAAAATCTGGCCTCAGTTATTGAGGCATTTTTTTTTTATAGAAAAAAATCAGGCCTCAGTTTTCGAGGAATTTTTTTCTATACAAAGAAATTCGGCCTTAGTTCATGAGGCATTTATTTCTATAGAAAAAAATCAGGCCTCAGTTATTTATTTTTTTCTATTGAAAAAATCAGGCTTTCGTTACGGAGGCATTTGTTCTATAGAAAAAAATCAGGCCTCAGTTATTGAGGCATTTTTTTCTATAGAAAAAAATCAGGCCTCAGTTATTGAGGCATTTTTTTCTATAGAAAAAAATCAGGCCTCAGTTATTGAGGCATTTTTTTCTATAGAAAAAAATCAGGCCTCAGTTATTGAGGTATTTTTTTCTATAGAAAAAAAAATCAGGCCTTAGTTATTGAGGCATTTTTTTCTATAGAAAAAAATCAGGCCTCAGTTATTGAGGCATTTTTTTCTATAGAAAAAAATCAGGCCTCAGTTATTGAGGCATTTTTTTCTATAGAAAAAAATCAGGCCTCAGAATTTGAGGCATTTTTTTCTATAGAAAAAAATCAGGGCATTTTTTTCTATAGAAAAAAATCAGGCCTCAGTTATTGAGGCATTTTTTTCTATAGAAAAAAATCAGGCCTCAGTTATTGAGGCATTTTTTTCTATAGAAAAAAATCAGGCCTCAGTTATTGAGGCATTTTTTTCTATAGAAAAAAATCAGGCCTCAGTTATTGAGGCATTTTTTTCTATAGAAAAAAATCAGGCCTCAGTTATTGAGGCATTTTTTTCTATAGAAAAAAATCAGGCCTCAGTTATTGAGGCATTTTTTTCTATAGAAAAAAATCAGGCCTCAGTTATTGAGGCATTTTTTTCTATAGAAAAAAATCAGGCCTCAGTTATTGAGGCATTTTTTTCTATAGAAAAAAATCAGGCCTCAGTTATTGAGGCATTTTTTTCTATAGAAAAAAATCAGGCCTCAGTTATTGAGGCATTTTTTTCTATAGAAAAAAATCAGGCCTCAGTTATTGAGGCATTTTTTTCTATAGAAAAAAATCAGGCCTCAGTTATTGAGGCATTTTTTTCTATAGAAAAAAATCAGGCCTCAGTTATTGAGGCATTTTTTTCTATAGAAAAAAATCAGACCTCAGTTATTGAGGCATTTTTTTCTATAGAAAAAAATCAGGCCTCAGTTATTGAGGCATTTTTTTCTATAGAAAAAAATCAGGCCTCAGTTATTGAGGCATTTTTTTCTATAGAAAAAAATCAGGTCTCAGTTATTGAGGCATTTTTTTCTATAGAAAAAAATCAGGTCTCAGTTATTGAGGCATTTTTTTCTATAGAAAAAAATCAGGTCTCAGTTATTGAGGCATTTTTTTCTATAGAAAAAAATCAGGCCACAGTTATTGAGGCATTTTTTTCTATAGAAACAAATCAGGCCACAGTTATTGAGGCATTTTTTTCTATAGAAAAAAATCAGGCCTCAGCTATTGAGGCATTTTTTTCTATAGAAAAAAATCAGGCCTCAGTTATTGAGGCATTTTTTTCTATAGAAAAAAATCAGGCCTCAGTTATTGAGGCATTTTTTTCTATAGAAAAAAATCAGGCCTCAGTTATTGAGGCATTTTTTTTCTATAGAAAAAAATCAGGCCTCAGTTATTGAGGCATTTTTTTCTATAGAAAAAAATCAGGCCTCAGTTATTGAGGCATTTTTTTCTATAGAAAAAAATCAGGCCTCAGTTATTGAGGCATTTTTTTCTATAGAAAAAAATCAGGCCTCAGTTATTGAGGCATTTTTTTCTATAGAAAAAAATCAGGCCTCAGTTATTGAGGCATTTTTTTCTATAGAAAAAAATCAGGCCTCAGTTATTGAGGCATTTTTTTCTATAGAAACAAATCAGGCCTCAGTTATTGAGGCATTTTTTTCTATAGAAACAAATCAGGCCTCAGTTATTGAGGCATTTTTTTCTATAGAAAAAAATCAGGCCTCAGTTATTGAGGCATTTTTTTCTATAGAAAAAAAATTTGGCCTCAGTAAGTTGAGGCATTTTTTGTATAGAAAAAAATCGACCTCAGTTATTGAGGCATTTTTTGTATAGAAAAAAAATCGAACTCTGTTATTGAGGCATTTTTTGTATAGAAAAAAGTTCGGCCTCGGTTATTAAGGCATTTTTTTCTATAGAAAAAAATCGGGACTCAGTTCTTGAGGCATTTTTTTCTATAGAAAAAAATCCAGACTCAGTTATTGAGCCTTTTTATAAAAAACTGGCCTAAGGTATTGAGACTTTTTTGTAATCCTCAATTTTTGAATAAGCTTTTTTCTAGAGAAATAATAATTGATAAAAATTTTATAAAAAATAATAATTTCTACATACCTGTCTCCGAAACGCATCCGGCATTGTAAACGTACTATGAATCCAACAGAATGTGTTCACGACATGCGTCGGTATACCATTAACTATACAACTGATCGGTTGACCGACATATTGAGTGGCAGTGATAATTAAACTGCATGTCAACAGCAGGACTGTAGTAAAGGAATTATGCAAACGAAATATTGTATTATCCGTTTGTATATCCTGCCATTTTAGATAACTTTTTAAGCCGACCAATAACTTATACATGGCAGCGACAGTTTGAAATTAGCGAAGAGTTGGAAATTCTGAAAAATCGTTGCGGTGGGTGTAGGGTGGGTTGGAAATTTAGAAAGAATCACTTATATTTTCTGGAAATGTTTAGAAATCTTGTTAATTGGCGAGAATTCATATCAGCTGGAATGAAAAAGAGGAGAAGAAAAATAAAAAATTAGTTAAAAAGTCATAAAATAATAAAAGGGAAATTTTAATTTAAAAGGGGTAAAAAGTATGTATTCTATTAAAAAAATCAAAGTTCGGCAAAAGTGGTATTTTTTCAATAAAAAAAATCTGGCTCTGTCAACGGTGCATTTTATTTTATAGAGAAAAAATACCACAAACAATCCGTTCTCAATTTAATAGAAATTTTTTCTTTAGAAGTGATTATTTTCTCAGTTCGTGAGTTATTTTTTTCTATAGAAAAAAAATCAAATCTCTGTTCATGAGGAATTTTTCTATAGAAAAAAATCAAACTTCAGTTCATGAAGTGTTTCCTACAGAAAAAAATTTAACCTCAGTTCTAGAAGCATGTTTTTTTCTTTTCTATGGGAAAAATAAATCTTCAGGTTTATTTTTTCTATAAAAAAATCAAACTTCAGTTCATGAGGAATTCTTTAACAATTTGGCTTCAGTTAACAGGAATTTTTCTATAAAAGTATCTGGCCTCAGGTATCAATTTATTGAATTATTTTCTATAATATTTGAGGTATTTTTCATATAGAAAATATTTGAATTTTTAAATCACAAAAATATTACCAGCATCTTGGAGGGTTAAAGCAACTTTGAGAAGTATTCACCCATTCAACACAGTAATACAAATTTTTCATTTCATAATTATTGTATTTACAAAAAATACTAATAATAAATTCCTGAAAATAACAAAAAACAAAATGAATCTTACAACAGCAGCAACAACAAAAAATCCATTGATTGAATCAAAGCTTCTGTACCAGCAGCAAAAATCGGAGCGACCGGTCGACTCATCCAATTTATCTGAAAGCTGTGCATTGAACTCAATTAATGTCAATTTATTGGCAATAAAGCCGCTGCAGGAAAATAATTCAGAATTCCCTTCCCCACCCCCTTCTCTCTTTAAGCAACCTCTCACATTCAATTAAAAAATATATGCATAAGTATAACTTGAATAAAAATGCATAACTTCTTCAGATATGTCCGATATTAGATACAACGAGAGTAAGAGGACATAAGACTGAGAAAAAATTTAATTTGTTAAATTAACAAAGAATTGGAGACACCACACCATTGAGAAGAGCGCCACCAAACAAACTATCTATGCAACAGCAGTACACAAATTGAGGGCAATAAACTCAAGAAGACACACTGATCTAAACAGTTTTTTTGTATTGAGACAAACGAACGCAACAAATCTTTGTTGTCGCTGGCCTCATCACCCATATGTCTGCGTCTGCATCGTTTTAAATAGAAATTTCTTTGGAAATCTTACGATTTCTTGTCAAACGTGAAATTCGTCTCCAACAAATGCAGCCATCTGATATCATTTGATGAAAGCAGCGGAAAGTCCAGCATCATTCATTCCCTTTAAATACTGAAAATTGTCATTTTAAAAATAAATTTGTTTATTTTCAGTTTGGTTGCTGTGTTGTTGTCTTATCCCTGAACTTGAAATAATCTTGGAATCTTAAAAATAGAATGCAGTTTCCCATATGCGCAGACTATTCCCATATGTTTGCTAAGATAATGAAAATATTTTTGAAATTAATTAACATCAAGATTTTTTTTCTATTGTGTGGAATTTTTATGAATATCTAAACAAGTTGATGTTTTTTGGTTGCGAAGAAATAATCATAAAATTAATGTCTTTAATTAGCACCATTGGAGAGATTTTAAATATTTACTGTCACCAGTTGCTACCCAGTGACATCACACGCAATCTATGAAGATGGATAAATAAATATATTGTTACTGCCATAATGATTTACCAAAATAGCCATAAGAAATTAATAATTAATTATCATGATCTTAAATTGTCATAAAAAACCGGATATATACCGCGAATAAGCCGAATGATCACGGGCCTTAATTGCCCCTAGAAAGCATAGTTTGTCCTGCGAACACATTTATGACAATTTCGAACGTTGGTCGCCATAATAGGGAAGAATAAAGTATATAACTGCTAGTCATAGTGGGCTTTAAAAAACCTTATTAGTTTTATAGAAGACATGACTTGACCAGAACCTTAAGCGATAATAATTTTAGAAATGAAGAATGTTAAGGGAAGACAATGTTTTCAAAATTTAATAAACACCATTCACACTTTTAGCCGCTTGGCATGCATTTTCGCCTTTGTCAAAGAAAAGCTGTAAAATGTGCCGCATTTGCTCTTTGTTCACTTCCATTTTTAACACCCTGTAACTCACAACTGAATGCACCAAACAAAAAAGTGCAAAAAATTTTTTACTGCGAAATATCACCCTTCCAACGAGCATAAATCTGAAATTGTTTGATCGATACTTTATGAGAAATCTATCGGTACAGCCATCTTCCGAAAAAAATAATGGATTTCTTTTTCCCCCAACCTAATATTTACTATAAATATGATTGCAAATATAGAATCTCAAAATTCAGTTAAATACATTATTAAGCAATTTTATAACATTATTCCAGGTTGCGAAATATTCTTTAACATTACAGCTGATTCGGTAAAATTACAGCTGACTCAGTAAAAACATACTGATTTGGTTTATCAGAGCCTTTTCGGTAAAAATAACATCTGATTCTAATTATTTGAAATTGTTGACAATGTTATTATTTTTTGTATAAGTAATATTAAAACGAATATTCTTTTTTACATCGTTTTTTTCGGATTGGATCCAAAATTTAAGAATTAATGGACTATATACACATATCATCATAATTTATATATCGCTATGAAATCTATTGACTGTTATTGACAAATCATTTCAACTCAAAAAAATCCATATCAACAAATACCAAATCTATGTAGTCATCTATTCACATTTTCTATTTGACAGCTAGTCATTTTAAATATCCAGTTTGTTCTCTTGCTTTCGCTTCAATGAACATAAAATATTTTGTATATGCATCTCATCTCATCTCATATATATACATACACAACATATAATAAAAACTGTCTACAGGCATTTAAAATAAATTAAACAATACGACACAAATTGAATTGAATTGAAGAAAATGCATTTAAACGATTTAATTTTTTCTCAATTGATAGGCTGACCCATTGACCGCCGCGGTGGCCAATAAAAAATATTGGGAATAAAATAAAAAAAAACTAAAAAAGAAAAAGTATTTATTGAAATAAATTCATATTAAATATTGAAAAGAAATTTCGGAACAAAGGGGGTAATTACATTATAATACGATGTATGAGATTTCACAAAAAATCGAAAAATTGACAATTGAAAAAATGAAGTGGTACCTCCATTACCTTGACATATTTGTTGGCTTATCTCGCCCTCTCAGTTTTTTTGCAACTTAGCTTCCGTAAATGGTAATAAGTGTGTGAAGCTCAGTTGAAGCTTTGTCAGGTATTTATTTATAATTTTGCAATGCTGTGGCGAGTTAAGGATTAGGGTTTGCAATTTGGGAAATTTTGAATTCGGGGAGTTTTCGGAGTAATTGGATGATTGCATTTGGTTTATTTCATTATAAAATAAAATATGTAGCTCTATCATTGCTAGCAAACCTTCGGTAGTTCTTCTGCAGATAGAAAGCTTTTATAGCACCACTATGGATTAAAAGGCTGCAATAGCTTTTTTATGTAGAGAATAACTTATAAAGCTTCTCTATTGATAGATGAGCTTCTATGACATTTCTATTAATAGAAAATCTTATGGGGCTCTTCTATGAGTGAAGGACCTTTAACGATTATTCTATGAATGGAATAACTTATTTAGCTTTCATATAGATATAAGACGTTCCATAGCTCTCCTATGATTGAATAAATGTTATAGTATTTTTTAGGAAGGAAGAACTATTATAGCTCTTGTATGGAACTTCTATATCTTTTCTATGGATCGAATTGCGTGCAATTGTTTAGATCTTCTATTGATAGAAGAGCTTCTAACGCTCCTATATAGATAAAATAACCACTTTGGCTTTTCTGTGGAAGAAAAAGCTTTTATAGTTCCTCTATAGACATATGAACTTCTATAGCATTTTTTGAGGATGGAAGAGCTTTTATAGCTCTTGTATGGATAGAGGAACTTCTATAGATCGTCCATGAATCGAATTGCTTGGAACAGCTTATTTAGATTTTCTATGGATAAGAGAGCTTCCATATCTCCCCTATAGATATATCTTCTGTAGCATTTCTGTAGAAGGACGAGCTTTTATAGCTCATCTATAAACAGGAGACTTTTTATAGCATTTCCGTGGAATGAAGTGCTTGTATAGTTCTGGTATGAATAGACAAGCTTTTATGGCCTGATGAGCTTCTGTAGCTTTTCTATGGATCGAAGAGATTCTGTAGCACCTTAATGGACCGAAGTGTTTATATAGTTCATCTTCTATGGACAAGAAAAGTGATAGCTTTTTTAGGTCTTCTATAGCTTATGATTGAAGAAATACTATAACATTTATAAGGATGGAAGAGCTTTTATAACTCTTGTATGGATTGAGAAACTTGTATATCTCTTCTATGGATCGACTTGTTTGGATTGGCTTATTTAGATCTCCTATGGATTGAAGAGCTTTCATAGCTCGGTTATGGATACATTAACATCTATAGCATATCTGTGGAAGGAAGAGCTTTTATGGCTGATCTATAGCATTTCCGTAGAAGAAAGAACTTTTATAACTCTTGTTTGGATAGAAGAGTTTCTATAGAACGAAGAGTTTCTAAAGCTCATTATTTGATAGAAGATCAGTAGATGTTTTATAGACAAAAAAATTGTATGGGTCTTTTATGAATAAAGCAGTTTCATAGTTTATTTACAGATACTAAAATGTCGATACATCTTCTGTGGAAAGAAAGGAATCTGTAGCTCATCTGTGG